TTCCCTAGACTAGCCAAGCCCAGTTCCTGCAACCGTTCTTCATATGTTTGAGCCTTCAGTCCCCTCATCATCTTGGTTGCTCTTCTCCGCATTCTTTCTAGAGTCTCAACATCTTTTTTACAGCGTGGTGACCAAAACTGGATGCAGTACTTTAGGTGTAGTCTTACTAAGACTTTATAGACTGGCATTAGTACCTCACCTGATCTTGATTGTATCCCTCTGTTCAAGCAACTTTTTTGTTTTGGAAAACAAAACAAAACAAAACAAACGCCATTTGTTTAGGCCTCAGGGACTCAAAAGAGCATAAACAGTGTTTCCTCCTCCCATTTCTATTGTCACCACAAAAGTTGTGAGGGACTAGTAAAGACAAAACAGCAGAGTGAATAGCTACAAGTGTCAGACCAAGCCCAAATTATTTGTGGTTTGCCTGCAGAAGAGGAAGCTGACTTCAAAAGTATTTGGCCTGTCTTCAATTGAAATTAAAGTGACAGGAGGACAACTGAAGAGCAGGAAAATCTTCCTTTCTTGCACTTTTAGGAATCCATTCAGTGGTTCTTGCAACATCTCTGCGATGGAGAAATAAAACTTCAGATCATATTGTTCATTATAGTGATTGAGGGGGCGGGGAGTATGTTTCCTCTGTACCACTTTGGTACACTTTGGTACACTTTAAAAAAAAACTGTTAAGTATCTTTGTTTTCCACCGTTTTGATTTTATGGTGGTAGTAGTCCTGTTTTCCTCTCCCCAAGGGGGGGGGGGACATTGAAATTTCTAAAAGAAAAAGAGACAGAGAAAGAGGGAGGGAGGGATAAAGAAAAAGAAAGAGGAAGAGAGAGAAAAAGTGAAAGAGCAAAAGAGAAAGAAGAGAGAGAAAGAGAGAAAAAAGCGAAAGAGATGAAAGAGAACGAAAGAGAAAGAGAGAAAAAGAGAAGAGAGTGAAAAGAGAAAGAGAAAGAGAGGAGACAGAGAGAATGAAGAGAAAGAGCGAGAGAAAGAGAAAAAGAAAGAGGAAAGAAAAAGGAGACAGACAGAAAGAGAAATATAGAATTAATGCAACCGTTCTTCATGTTTAGCTTCTAGTCCCACAATCATCTCTGTTGCTCTTCTTTGCACTCTTTCTTAAGTTTCAACATCTTTTGTATATTGTGGCAACCAATTAGAAGGGACCTTAGAAGTTTTCTAGTCTAACCCCTGTTCAAACAGGAAACCTTTTCACTAGACTAGACATTCCCAATTCCTGTATCCCTTGTTCATGTTTTAGCCTCCAGTCCCCTAATCCTCTTCATTGTTCTTCTCTACACTCTTTCTAGAGTCTCAACATCTCTTTTACATTGTGGTGACCAAAACTAGATGCAGAATTCCAAGTGTGACCTTAAAGGTAAAGGTTCCCCTGCACATCTGTGCTAGTCGTTTCCGGCTCTAGGGGACGGTGCTCATCTCTGCTACAAAGCCGAAGAAGAGACAGCGCTGTCCGAAGACGTCTCCGTGGTCATGTGGCCAGCATGTCTAAACGCCTTCGAAGGCGCACGGAACACTGTTACCTTCCCACCAAAGTGGTCCCTGTTTTTCTCCTTGCATTTTTTACGTGCTTTCAAACTGCTAGGTTGGCAAAAGCTGGGACAAGTCATGGGAGCTCACTCTGTGACATGGCGCTGGGGAGTCAAACCACCGAACTGCCGACCTTTCTGACTGACAAGCTCAGGATCTTAGCCACTGAGCCACCTGCTGAGTGTTAGAATCCCAATATTTCCAGATTCTGGGATTGTAAGAGTGAGCCTGAAATTGAGACAAAGCTCTTGCATGCTCTCTGTATTTTACTACGTTCTCCGAATGCCATAATTTAATCTGGCTAGAGAGCTACTAGCATGCCAACTACTAGCCTGCCAACCTGGCTGTAATCGTCCTGTTCCTCTCAATTCCCTGAAATTTGTTAAAATTTGGACGTTCTGATTAAATCGGAGCAAGTTCAGGAATTGAGATCTGTAGAAAAAGTGTCTGTGGTTCTATTCTCCTCTCTCCCCAGATCAGCTACATACATAACCTTGTGCCAAGACATGTAAGGTGGGGGCGGGGCGGGATTTTTCAATCTTATCTTTACTAAAGCAATACAATTTTACTACTCTTATGTTCATGGAAATTCTCGGTCAATCTGACATGTTAGTCTGGAACAAACAAGTCAGCCTGTTTGAAGTGTGCCATTACCCTTGTCCTCGATTCTTATCAGTGGGAATTATTATGCAAGATAATGTAAAAAATCCCAAGTGCATTCAAGGCTACTCACATTCTTAGACAGATATTCCCATCACTTGAAATGATGTGTGTGTGTTTTTTTTTAATTTTATTTTCAGCAAAACCAGTCATCACCTTCCTTTTATTCAGAAGGGGATTGCAATTTCTAATTCTCCTTTTAAATTGAGTTGTACTCACAAGAAGGCTTTGCAACGAGGAAACATTTCTTAAACACATGGTGTGTGTGTGTGTGTATTTTTAAATCTGCTTTCTGGAGCTTGTGATGATGGACCAGGTTCAACCATGATCCAATACAGACGTCCAGAAGTGATTTTTATTTCACTCAATCTGCAAGGATCTTAGGACTCTGCTAAATTAGAAGTCTGGTTTGCCAAGTTAAGAGCCACAAGCTAATTCTACATCTGTTTAAAGGAAAGATAAAACATCTGGATTGGGAAGATCCCCAATGCTTCCTTAAGAGGGAGCCTTCTTTCTTGAAGAAGATTTGGCTATGCTCCATTTTGAAGAGGACAAACCTGGATGTAGGAGTTTTAGACAACTAAATTAGTCTTCAACCTTTCTTAACCAGTTCCACAGTACCTACATGAATCAATTTATCTAGACCCTTTTTGAGTTTGGTTTCCAACCTGGTTACAGATGGGCATTAGTTGGGCTCTTTTGAAGGACCTGTCCTTCAATATATGGTATCTTACTAGTCTGCCTCAAAGAGGCTATAGCTAATGCAATTCTAATGTATCCTTACAATTTTTATTGATTTTGTTTCCTAGTATGATTTGATTGCTTATTGTACCCTATGACTATTGTTAAGTGTCATATCTGATGATTCTCAAATCTTGACGAATGTATTTTTTTCTTTTATGTATACTGAGAGTATTTACACTAAGACAAATTCCTTGTGTGTCCAATCACACTTGGCCAATAAAGTATTCTATTCTTGGTTGTATAAACCGAGGCACAGAATCAAAATCAGGTGAAGTATTAGTACTGCTTTAAAAAACCTTAGTAAGGCCACACTTGGAATACTGCAGGAACAGAGAAGAGAGCAACATGGGTTGCATGGCTTATGGGGGAGAAAAGGGCCCTGATTCCCTTCATTAGCTGCAGCTGGGAACACAGTGGCAAGCTGTTTGCAGCAAACTGCTGGGAGCAAATGTGACTTTATCTTGTAGCGTCCCAACTGTGTGAGTTTTACCGTGCATTCAAGTCTGAGATTCCTTCTTTTGCCCTGTCAAACTAATTACTTCAGTTTGGTTTGTTTGGATTTTAAGTTACAGTTTGTGTTGACCATGTTTTGGACTGAATTTTCTACACTTAAAGGCTCTCCCTGGGAGAATTTTTCTCCAGATGAAGGTAATCTGGACATTGGGGGCAAAGTTGGGCATAATAAAGGGATTCTTCTTGCATATTTGACTGTGTTGCCTTTGTGCCACACCCCTTTGGGTCATCACAAGGTCTTTGTTGAGCTTGGGTTGGTGCATCAATTGCCACTCTGTCTGCCTGGAACAGGAGGACCTGGCTACGGTCACTCACAGCCTCATTGCTGTGTGGTTCAACTACTGCAGTGAGCTTTGTACTGGGCTGATCTTACTCTGAAACTGCAAACGGTCTCAAGTGTAGCAGAATGACAGGAGCCTATAATACCAGGTCCTGCAAGCCCTGCATTGGTTAATTAATTAATTGGTTAATTTGGGCTCCAATTCAAAGGGCTGATAATTATCCTTGTGTTAAGGGGACAAAAGGAAGGGAAATCTCAATGTAAGCGACCCGAACTCCTGGGAAAAAAGCAGGATATAAACAAAACAAAACAAAATGAAACAAATTAAAATGTGCACCGGATGAATTTCTAAGCGTCAATTGCGAAAGATTAGGTCAGGGGTCTTCCAACTTGGCAGCTTTAAGACTTGTGGACTTCAACTCCCAGAATTCCTCCTCCAATCATGTTTGCTTAGGTATTCTGGGAGTTGAAGTCCACAGTTGCCAAGTTTGAAGACCCTTGGACTAGGTCTATATGTGAATGTTCAATTAAACTGTCCCAAAGATGCTTTTTTCAAGAGGCATCTGGACTTTCTTGGACTTTTTTCTTTTGAAGACATTTTGCTTCTCATTCCAAGAAGCTTTTTCAGCTCTGACTGGATGGTGGGGAAATGGAAGGATTTATACTCCTTGCAGACAGTTGGTCATTTGCATCCTTTTTAGAGGGTCGTTGAGGCCACTTGGAGATTTATCTCTGTGTCCTCAGGGTCATCCAAGTGATGCAAATGGGGGTGGAGCCTTCTTGGCCCAATGGGGGTGGAGCCCACCATCCAGTTAGAGCTGAAGAAGCTCCTTGGATGAGGAGTAAAATGTCTTCAAAGAAAAACCAGATAGTGCAGTTGCCTCTCAAAAAAAACCCCACCTTTGGGACAACTATGACTTGTATGACTGAGAATCTCATCGATGTTCAATTAAACTGATTTATTGCTATAACCTAGGCAAGTAATTTCTCAACTAACACCTGCTTAGATAGAAGTCCACAGAACTCAAGGGGTGGGGGAAAGGCAGATTGGACTTAGTTCACTTGTGACTACGTAGGGGTTCTCAGCCTATCCCTCTTTTAACTCTACCCTCACGTTTTCTCATTCGTTCTCCCACACTTAAGCCCAGAAATACATCACTGGATAGAAGTGAGTGGATATGGAGTGGAACAGTGGCATATTAGATTACTATGTATTTTTCACATCACATGTAAATCAGATTCAACACATACTTGCAGTAGTTTTCCAACTGAAATTTAACTCCCTAATTTTTTACAGTTGCATGGCACCTCGTGCTTCCAAGCCTTAATTGGGAAAAAAAAACCCTCTCTTTCATAATTCTTGACACAATGCTGGAAATTACCAGAAACTGAACAATGAAGCTTCTCCGAAGTTATTTAAGATGACATTCTTTGAGATTAGAGGCAGGCAAACACTAAAGCTGTAAAAGAACATTTGTTTTGGATTAAAGCACCAGAGAAATAATTTGGCGATAGATACGTTGGTGAGACAGGAATTGTGAAACGAAAAGCGCAACTGAAAAGCAGTTACAAAACAATAGCTGTTTTATTTTCCTGCCTTTCAAAGATGATGGTGGCTATGGTTATGAGGTTACTTCCCCAGCCGCCCTCCTCCGTATGATGCCGGCAAATGAAACACAAAATGCGTCCTGTAATGACAAAATTGTGACATCTAAAGGACGTAACTTGCTGAGAAAAAACAAGAGGGACCATGGAGTTTAGAAAACCGTGGGAATATCAAAAGCAGAACCATGTTGGCAGGAGTATCTGAAGTAGGGGGTTGGATTAAATGATCTACAAGGACCGTTCCAACTCTTGTGATTCTGTCTGTCTGTCTGTCTGAAGACTTGTTTGTTTTCAGCTATATTATTCAGACAATGGAGGCCATAACCAAAGAAACAGAAATGTCAGTATTCCATGTGCCATAAGTCAGTTTCTACAATTAAGCATGTACACAGGCTAGGTGTCATCCATCACATTCTCCAATTAAAGTTTTTCTAGTCGCTTAGCTACAATCTTGTTTAAGATAAGGTTGGAATGTGCTTCTAAGTTCATTTGCCGTATGCTTCTCCAGTCCTTTCCCCCATTCCCCTCTTTCTTATGCCAACTTGGAAACAAGTGTAGGAATGTTTTACAAGTTGTCAAGAGGTTGGCAGAATGTGAGTTTTAAAAACCAGACAGAGAGAGAAGCACACAGTTTTCCCGTACTTTCCAACAGCAGGATCACATTCCCAGTTCTTTGCTCTAATGTCTAAGTCCCTGAAATGAACGTTTCTTTTCCTCTCAGAAGTTCTCGGTGGGACCTCACCTACAAGCTCAGCTGAGCCAAGACCTAGTCTCCTTCCGCCGTGTCTGTTGACTGGTTGAGTTCTTCTTGAGGTAGGCTGACAGCCTGAGGGGCTTCTTCCTCTTCTTCCTCCTCAGCTTCTCCATCGTCTTCATCCATTTCAAACACCCGGATGTGCCGTAGGTTTGAACTTAGCTAGGAAAACATGAAGGACAGGGGTGGGATTCAATCGGTGTAACAACTGATTCGATGAGAGAGCGTGCATTTAAAAACCACCCATTTTCAGCTCTAAAACTTTCCTTCCGGGACCAACTAATCGTCAGAACTACTGGTTTGCCCAAACTGGTCCAAACCGGCTGAATCCCACCCCCAATTAATTACGGTTGAATTTTAAAGCCAACTGCCTCAGAACTGATCTTTCAGTCCTCAGGACAGAGATATTATGTCACTAGCTTGGGTGCTGTCACCCTAAAACTAAAAGCAATTTTGTCGTCCCCCCCCCAAGGAAGATAATAAGATAAACTGAAGTAAATGAGAGATTGAGTTACAAGAATTTGTCCCCTGGATTATTTATATCATTCAAAATCGGTAAAGATTTCTTCATTGTCTTTCATAAAAACTCCTTTCTGGGAACAGGGTAATTTTAAGTCTCTTCGTGGATAATTGAGAAGCTTAAAGAGTGGCTATTTACAATTCCAGTCTCCTGAATTGTTATCGGTCTTTTAAAAGCTAATGACTGACCGGTGTCTCCTCAAATAACTTCTTCAACCGTTTATGATGGTTTTTATTTCTGGCGTAGGTGTAGAAATTAGAAACCAGCAGGAAACGAACAGGAATGAGTAAGCATCCCAAACCAGAAACAGAGAAGGAGTGAAATATCATAGAAGGGAAATAAGATAAACAATGGGTGGATCAAGTGGTGGGATTCCAAATTGTGCGCTACCAGTTCTGCGTGCAGCACTCAAAGACGGCCCTCAGTGAGGTGAGCTGGGTTTTTTTACCTCAGCTGGGGCATGGCTGAGACATGGCAATTTGCTCTGCGAATCAGCTGAGGTAAAAATCAATGGAATACAGGATGAAAAAGGGCGGGTGCGGGTGGGCGGGGCCAGCCAGAGGTGGCATTTGCCGGTTCTCCGAACTAGTCAAAATTTCTGCTATCAGTATACCAGAACCAGTCTGAACCGGCTGAGTACCACCTCTGGGTTGGATGCATAAAACGAAGACTGACATATCCTTCCTCCATGGAACACAGATAGTTATAACCTTTCATTTAATGGCTCTTTGAAGTTACAATGGCACTGAAAAAAGAGACTTATGACTGTTTTTCACACTTACGACTGTTGCAGCATCCCTGTGATCACATGATCAAAATTCAGAGGCTTGGCAACTGGTTTATACTTATGACCGTTGCTGTGTCCCAAGGTCACGTGATCCTCTTTTGCGACCTTCTGACAAGCAAAGTCAATGGGGAAGCCAGATTCACTTAACGACTGGGTGATTAACATAACAGCGGTTCCTTTAACAACTGGGCCAAAAAAGGTTGTAAAATGGGGGAAACTCACTTAACAACTGTCTCGCTTAGCAACTGAAATTTCGGGCTCAACTGCAGTAATTAAAGGATTCTTCCTCATCCCCCCCCCCCCCCCCCACCACCACGACTCCTGAAAATGTTAATTCTCCTGAGGCTGATGGACAAATTTAACCTTTTTCTGTCGGGTCTAAGATAATTTGCCACGGCCAGCTCTTCATCGAGACAAAAGTTAGATTAATATTGAAGAATCATTAAAGGAGGGACAGAATCAAATGGGAATGACAAGAAGATAGATAGATAGATAGATAGATAGATAGATAGATAGATAGATAGATAGATAGATGACTTTAAATGCTTAAATTGTTGAACTGGCCTGCAGCAAGTTGGCCATGGAGAGTTGTGGCGAGCCAGTGGCCAGCAGAGTTGACAGCAGACTCAGACAGTGAGGAGGTTGGGGAGGAACATGGGCTTGTCTGATGAGGGCTGTACATTGGAGACAGACATGGGGCCAGGACCGTCCGACAGTGTGTTCCCAGTGTGCACATTCACAGAGCTGCCAGAAGGGAACAGCTAAGGAACAAGGGTCGACTTGGGAGTAAAGACACAGGTGGACTGTGAATGGTCCCTCCCATAGGGAAAGGGGAGTGGAGTTTTGCAGGAGACAGTTCATTTGGGTGAAGATCTGTTCCTGCATTCTTGCTAATTATGTCTGCTACAGTGTGACATTTGAAAGATATCAGTCTGGCAACTCTCCAAGCCTGATAAAGGTCTGTAACTGGGAACTCTCTTGAAAGACTGTTGGCCGGGACTTTGCTGGAGAGGAATTCACAGTAAACTAAATAAAAGGGGTTTATCGGGAAGAGGACTCAGCTTTGTGCTTTTGGGGAAGCCTTGGTCAGAACAAGTTGTCCCATTCTGCTCCCTGAAAACCCAATCATCAAGGAGACAACCCGCTTGTATCACTGAACAAACACAACGAAACTCACAACGCAAGACACTTTCCGGATTCCGTTCACTGTGATGTAGCTAGCCTTCATGTTCTCCAGCACCCTCCACTGAGTCTCTGTGTTTACTGTACAAGTAGGGATGCTGTCACGCTGCATATCTAACCTAACATCCAGAAGAAAACCAAGTAAGAGAAACATAGGCAGTTGTCCCCGATTGCCCAAGATGTCCCCACATCCTTACGAGCAGCCTCGACTTGCAACAGTTCATTTAGTGGTCAAAGTTATGACGCTGCTGCAAAAAGCGACTTAAGACCGTTTTTCACACTTACGATCATTGCAGCCTCCCCATGATGTGATCAAAATTCAGAGGCTCGGCAACTGGTATGTACTTATGCCGGTTGCATCCAGAGGTCATTTGATCCCCTCTTGTGACTCATTTACAAGCAAAGTCAATGGGGAAACCAGATTTATTCACAGTCTTTCCAGAGAGTTGTTTAAATCAAACTTTCTCCAAAGCCCTTGAAGTCACTGATTTGGGTCTGATGAGACATGGTATGAGGAGTTTTGTCTCAAATTATTACTCTTATTTCTACTGGGGATTGTTTTATTCATTGTGCAATGACTTCTATGAAATTGCGCCAAGTTTGGCTCTCACCTTTGACCAGAATTCCAGTTAAACTCCATCCCCTGGTTCTCCTCCGTACAGATAGATGACAAAGGCAACTGAGCCAAAATCCGTTCCTTCCCCTCTTGTTCTGAATTTTCCACCAGGATGACGGTTATCGTTTCGTCATCGTAAAAATGAGCATCCAGACAGCTGTAGGAGCTGGAGACCAAGAAATAAAATCAAGTGTTACCCAGGGCAATGCTGATGGGGAAGAGTATCACAAGGTTTCATAGTTGCGGCGCCATTCGAAATAGAGGTGTTCCTCAATTTGCAACTACAATCGAGCCAAAATTCAGGTTGTTAAGTGAGAAATTTGTTAGGTAAGATTTGCCGCATTTTATGAGTTCCCTTGCCATCTTTGTTAAGTGAATCACCGAAGTTATTAAATGAGTAACCAGTTGTTAAGTGAATCTGACACAACAACTGAACATTTTCTATAATTCAACGTTTGATCGTGTTCCTTAGTCGAGACGGTTTTTTTCCACAGACTGACCTGCTTTCATTACTTTCGTTAATACTTTTGTTCAAGAAATTCCCAAACTCCACAGCGAGCAGTCCGTTATTAGTGGACCTAAATATTATGGAGGGAAAAAACATAAACGGTTATTAGAGAGTGTCTGAAGATGTTTTGGGGAGAACTGTGTTTGAAAAAAAAAAAGAGAATGAGAGACGCTGGGTGCTACGTAGCAGTAGGCTATGAACTGGTAGCTAATTTTATCATTATTATTTTTTAAAACAATTTTTTTATTTTTCTTATCTACAAACATATTGTGTGAACAGTGTGACACCTGGGTGTCTTACATTTTAAAACAAATATGACATTATTTCCATAATTAATACATTTAACAATATTATAACATTTAACCTCAATATACAGGTTTTCTCCTTAATTATTCAACTGTTTTTTTGTATCAATCGCCATATTCTAAACATCTCTTTTTACTACCAATAGTATATTAATTATGTTTGTAGTGTTTAACAGATTTTAGTTATATTATCCAACATTTATCTCCTTTTAATGTTAATTGTATCACTGTTATATTTTAACACGTCCCTCCATAATCTTATTTCAGTGCATAAGTCATATGTCTCATCTTGTATTCATTTGACAAATTATACATTCTAATAACAATATATATATTATCTATTACTATACCTTGTATATGTATTTTACATTCTAATAATAATACACATTTTATCTATTACTATACCTTATATATGTATTATACGTTCTAACAATATATATATATATATTATCTATTACTATACCTTACATATGTATTATACATTCATATATACATATATATATATATATATATATATGTTTTCTGAGGTTCTCGCGGGTATTTGTATGTGGATCTTTGGTTGTTCGGGTTTTCTCCCGCGTAAGATTCGAAGTATCTAGGCAACGTTTCGATGAAGTTTCATTCATCATCTTCAGGCTTCTGTCTCCGGCTCTGTGCTTCTCAGAGTAATGGAGATTGCAGCTGCTTCCTCCTTTTAACTGCCAGTGGGGGTGGGACTTGATTGGGTGGGGGCTTGGCTGTGTTCTGATTGGGTGGGGGTGTGTTCTCATTGGTAGGGGGTTTGGCTGTGTTCTGATTGGTTGGGGGGTTAGCCGTGTTCTGATTGGTTGGAGGCGTGTTCTGTTCAGGTGGGGGCTTGGTTGTGCTCAGGTTAGTCTTAGTTGCTGGGGGATTTGAGCTGGAGAGTTGTGATCTTGCTGTTTGGCTTCTAGTTCGTGGTCCTGCTGCATCTTCATAGTGAGTGTCGGTTTGCTTCATGTATGGCTCAGAGGGGTTTGAAGTGGTTAGTGATGCAGCTGCAGTGCAGCTTCTGGTCCATGGTCGTTTCTCATTTTCTGAATGGGTGGGAGTCTGTTTTCTACATGGAAGTGTGGTGGTGGCATCTTGTGTGGCTCTCATGGGTGTGGGTCCGGTGTCCTTCTTCATGTTAGGTACTCGTCTGTTCATGAGGACGGGTTTCCAAATGGCTGGAAGGCGGGAGGTGTCATCTCGTTTGTTCATGCTGTGTGGGCGTTTTTCTATCTCTATGGCTTCTCTGATTATTCTGCTGTTGAAGTGTTCGGTTTTGGCGATAGTTCTGGTATTTTTAAAATCAATTTCATGTCCTGTGGCTTTGAGGTGTTGGACCAGGGAAGAGGTCGTTTCTTCTTTTTTGATTGAGTTCTTATGTTCTTCAATGCGTGCACTTATTCTTCTGTTAGTTTGTCCAATGTATGTG